TAAGTGTATGGTTTAAATTTCAGTATTTTGTTGTATGATTTGATCATCATTTGTACTAGTTTTCAAAACGTTACAAATATTACTTTATTTGAGTAAGCTCCACGTTTAACACTACATACATACAAATAACAACATATGATAGAAATAAAACGATATCTTACATAAATAAACAGCTTGATTGAATTGTGTAACGTATAACGCTCCACACTCTATACTAATAATGTATGTTGTATGTTCTATCAAAAGGTGCGGGATCATGACTCAATTTCCTACAGGTTAAATATAGATGATCAATGTCAACATCAATGACGTCATTTATTCACACTATCTGGCGCTCTATCAGTGATAATTAACGCTCCGATGTCCCTGGTATTAATAAACCTGCAAATGTAATTATGATGTAATGAATATTATATATGGTTGCTACATTGGAATATTTCTGGGGTAGAAAATCACTCGTGTAGTAGATTGTTATCGTGATTCCAAGATTTGGTCTGTGATAATAGGTACAAATGTATTGTCCTACAGTAATTACAGGTAAAACGTTAGCTGTAATGTCTTAACTACAGGTACAACTGTAATGTCTTAACTACAGGTAAAACTGTAATGTCTTAACTACATGTACAATAGACATGTCTATATTACAGGTACAACTGTGATATCCTAATTACAGGTACAACCTTAATATCCTATTTACATGTGTAACTGTAATATCCTAATAACAGGTACAACTGTAATATCCTATTTACAGGTACAACTGTAATATCCTATTTACAGGTACAACTGTATAAATATAGATGATCAATGTCAACATCAATGACGTCATTTATTTACACTATCTGGCGCTCTATCAGTGATAATTAACGTTCCGATGTCCCTGGTATTAATAAACCTGCAAATGCTGTAATTTCCTATTTACATGTACAACTGTAATATCCTATTTACATGTACAACTGTAATATCCTATTTACATGTACACCTGTAATATCCTATTTACATGAACAACTGTAATATCCTATTTACAGTTGTACATGTAAATGGGAACTTACAGCTGTACTTGTAAATAGGATATTACAGTTGTACCTGTAATATCCTATTTACATGTGTAACTGTAATATCCTATTTACAGGTACAACTGTAATATCCTATTTACATGTACAACTGTAATATCCTATTTACAGGTACAACTGTATTTTTCTAATTACAGATACAACTGTAATATCCTATTTACAAGTACAGCTGTAAGTTCCCATTTACATGTACAACTGTAAAATCCTATTTACATGTACAACTGTAATATCCTATTTACATGTACAACTGTAATTTCCTAATTACAGGTACAACTGTAATATCCTATTTACATGTGTAACTGTAATATCCTAATTACAGGTACAACTGTAATATCCTAATTACAGGTACAACTGTAATATCCTATTTACAGGTACAACTTTATTATCCTAATTACAGGTACAACCGTAATATCCTAATTACAGATACAACTGTAATATCCTATTTACAAGTACAGCTGTAATATCCTAATTACAGGTACAACTATAATATCCTAATTACAGGTACAACTGTAATATCCTATTTACAGGTACAACTGTATTATCCTAATTACAAATACAACTGTAATATCCTATTTACATGTACAACTGTAATATCCTAATTACAGGTACAACTGTTATATCCTAATTACATGTGTAACTGTAATATCCTAATAACAGGTACAACTGTAATATCCTATTTACAGGTACAACTGTATTATCCTAATTACAGATACAACTGTAATATCCTATTTACATGCACAACTGTAATATCCTATTTACAGGTACAACTGTATTATCCTCATTACAGATACAACTGTAATATCCTATTTACAAGTACAGCTGTGATATCCTAATTACAGGTACAACTATAATATCCTAATTACAGGTACAGCTGTAATATCCTAATTACAGGTACAACTGTAATTTCCTTCTGCCGGTTAGAACACTGATATACACGGAATAGCTCCGTAGTTCTGTATTATAATTATCTGACACCCAACGGCTACGTTAACGCAAAGCTACACCAATAACTCCGGATATTGAATTCAATACCTACAGACATTGTTAGGGTTCACAGTGGCTGTTAGTCGGTGCATTGCTCTACAGTGGCAGATTGTCGTCATAGCTAGGTGATATATTCCGATGATTTCCTAGGATATTTTCAAATATTGGCAAATTAGTAAATACTAGTTAACTGCAAACATGTTGGTTGTTATTGCCACCTGTCTTATTATATGTGCCAGGTATTCTTTTCTGGTTTACCACAATACAGCACGTACCTAGATGTATGTATCTCCGAACCGAACACGCCGAATTTGTGACAATTTGTTATTATCTCTCAGTCTCTAGACTTGTTGCAGTCCCTATATATATAACTCCCCGTCCTAAGACTTAATGAAGTCCCTATGTATATAAATATTTGTCCCTAGACTTGCTTTAGTCCCTATGTGTATACCTTTCTGTCCCTAGACTTGCTTATGTCTTATGTACATGTATATAACTTTCTGTCCCTAGACTTGCTAATGTCTTATGTACATGTATATAACTTTCTGTCCCTAGACTTGCTTATGTCTTATGTACATGTATATAACTTTCTGTACCTAGACCTGCTAATGTCTTATGTACAGGTATATAACTTTCTGTCCCTAGACCTGATACTGTCCCATGCCTCTTACTCTGTCTCTACTTATATCCTCTTATGTAGTAACCGGGATGCACGTGTGACGGGGTAAATCTTTGTTCTTGTTCAACAGTGTAATTTGGATGCACGTGTAATAGGTGTAATTATGTGCGACTCTTCACCAGTGTAATAGAGGGTTTAACTTGTCAACATCTCCATGGTTACCAGTTAGGTACGTCTATTAGCATTAGTGGGAGACATGACTATACATTTCACAGGACTTCGGGACGATACTAATTCCATGTTACCCGTGTAATTTGCCTGCACGTCGCGCGAACTATTTTGCTCGGCATGTTTACGAGAACATATGAAATGTATTGCCGTGCTTACTAGTCATTGTATATTATTTTCGTAGAACGGGTTGAATGTACACGATCTGTTTTCCTGTGTTGATAATAAAACGTAACAAGAACATACCGCTAAAACATACATACGTCTTACAACGCCAAAACCACGCCCTCTGGTTATGTAACTTACATTGATATGTTATGAAAAAAGTGTAGGCACCATATTTCTCTGACTGAGTTTCACACACGTGTTTTTTTCTCGAGCGTATCATATGGAAATCGTAAAATGTCAAATTGTTTATCGTTCCCAGAGGTTTATGATATGTGTATGATCCAATAAAAAACATTCAGTTTTTTTCTTGACGTCATATGGGGATAGTTAAAGTGTTACGTAGTTTATAGACATCCCGCAGTTTACAAGTCAAATCCGATCTAGTTATCGCCGACCCTCCTCGAATATATCGTTCCGACCATTTTCATTCCAAAATTAAAAGGAACAGAATAATGATCGAAATGAGATCATCTCCAGCTGTGTTTCCTGCGGGTTAATCATTAAAGAAACTTAAACGTCTACAGGTCGACAATATCTCATGAGCATTGTATTTTAGACGTTGAAGGTTTCTATTAACTTACATTCAGTTACACAGGGTACCCACCGACCAGATATTGCAATAGGTATGTATTCTACATAGCATCGAAGGCTATGTTTCGTTCTGCCCTCTTGAGATACTACTTTGAAGGAAACATCAGAGATTTTAGCGTGTCAAAAATGTTGAGTTTTTTGGTACAGTTTGATAGTTTGAAACCATGCATAACACCAGTAAAATCAGTGATATTACTTTCGGTACAAACGGATGCGTTTTAGAGTATTTTCGGTATAGGCGGTGATGTATTAGAGTAATTTCGGTACAGACGTTTGTGTTATAGAGTAATTTTGGTACTGACGTTTGTGCTTTAGAGCAATTTCGGTACAGACGGTGGTGTTTTAGAGTAATTTCGGTATATATGGTGGTGTTTAAGAGTAATTTCGGTATATCTGGTGGTGTTTTAGAGTAATTTCGGTAAATTGGAGATGTTTATATTAGCCTGGAACACCCGGCTTAGATTTCCGTGTCAGTGCCAGACCCGTATCACTGGTTTTCACACCCTGTCACTTTTAGTAGGATTTTAAGACCCCTTTACGGCCCGCCAGGATCTCCTACATCTCGGGTTTGCAGTAAACCATTTAAATAGCAGAAATAACTCTTCGACTGTATTTTACATTAAGCTTTGGAAATGTACGATTTTGACTCGGTGTGAAGGCGTTACGCAACCATTGCCATAGACATCATTGAGACCGTTGTTTGTGTGTGCGTTTTCGGGCTAAAACAGTGGCAAAGTCTCGACTGAGCACAATCCCGTAATCCAACGTACGTCCTGACATCTTTATCTCCGACATAGAAGAGTTCTGAGGGCGCTGTATATTACTTGTTTATCTCCCATCAGAGGAGTTCTTTTTTGTCAAATAACCTCTTTACACGAAATACCTGGCAATTGTTCTAGTCTAGGCGGGTTCCTCTGATAAACAGCCCAACGCCATGCGCCTTGGAGCGGCAACCGATGCTAAACGGCGCGATACCCATCTCGCGACGGGCAAATGGCGGATGTAATCTCAAACGACTTTCTAACATGTTACATACGGTCTATATCCTCTCATGGTGTTCCGGGAATCAAATTGATTTATGTTCTTTAAACACATTTTTTTTAACAACAAGGAAAAGCGGATGGTAACAACGGAAGTTAACGCAATTACGAGACGTTCTTTTACGATGATACATAGATATATTTGGGAGATGATTATTATATTATCGAGCAATTAAAATAGTGAAGAAAATACTTGGAATTCCATTGAAATCCTTTCTCCGTTTATATTGTAGTCAAAAATACTCTCAATGATTTACATCACTTGACATGTTTTTCACCTCTGCTTCTTTATTTTCCCAGCATCCTCCTGTGTATTTCCGGTTGAATGGCGGGGTCGTTGGAACCAAGACACGTATGGGGAACTCGAAATTACAGATCGGCAAATATCTCGAAAAGGAACATGTTCGAAGAAGGACGGAGACAAATACCTTATCGCAGACAGGTAAATCTTATGAAATAAAGGTACTAAACAGAAAATGAGTATACCACTGATGACAATACTGTCGTAGAATACCCATGGTTGGTCTTCAAATGTCCCCTAAACAGTGCCAAACCAATTTTAGTCAATTTCCCCTAAATAATACAGAAGTAAACTCCAACGAAATCCTCAACATCTATAGCCCCTTCTATCACCTGACCACACTCCCATCACAGCCTTTTTAATCCCTGACAACTCATTGCTTTTCACATCCTCTGAAACTTCATTTCATCAAACCCTTGCCCATCCATCCACAAATTCACGGCTATGTTTCTTTTTCATTTTGGTACACTAACATTGAAACCGTCATTTAATTAATTAAAAATGGATAAACAGAACATAACGATAATATTTCTAGGATTTTAGATTACATAGAAAATGTCACGTTCGTTGAATAACCCTGCGATCCTGATCTGAACAGCGATTATATCGCAGTAAGAGATGTATGGTCAATGACGGGAGTGTGTGATTGGAATATCTTAGGAATTGAATCTGCTTTAATTCTCGTCCTCGTTTACGAATAGAGAAATGCCAAGTGAACATGCTTTACCCTTGAAATAACAAGCATTTAAGTTAATTGCGTATAAAAGTTATCTCACTTAAACTCACGTGCGAATCAATTATACGTGACAAGGGGATCGGAGATGCGTTAAAATAACGTTAATATTAGCATTGCTGTTGAAGACTAGCTTCGACAGGTCTCCTCTGATGGTTAGCGAAAAGCCGAGCGGTGCCACACGGATATGTGCCGTGGAACTCTGACGACAAACCGAAGACAAGTTAATATGTAGCGAGATTCTAAAATGTCATTTCGTCTCCTAACTTCGACAAATTTTACTGCAAAGTTGTTAATAGTTTTCCATTTTTAATTTACGTTCTCCTTGAACTGCACTTAGAAACAAAGCACATTTCTTACTCAAAAAGAATAAAACTTGAAAAATATATTGAAAATACAAATAAAAGTCGTTTAAAAAATCATTAAAATTCAATCATTTTTTAATTAATTCATCTGTAAGCTGAATTAGAGAATTAAAGAAATAAACATAAAAAGGAAACAAAAAAGAAATATTTATTAGTGTAAATCAAGTTAGATAAAGATAAAATGTAAATATTAAGACAATAGAAATGAATTATTTCCCCTGATCACCTTATCATGTATTTTTTCTTCTCTATATACACGACTGTTGGATCTATTAAAGATGTTTATCTAAACTCACGTATAGTCACTATCTTTATTGTTGCGACTTCCCTAAAACATAAACAAATTAAGAAGAAATGAACAACACATAATTACAAAGAGGCACACGTTTTCTTGTCTAATATTGAGTGCATACTGCGGTGTTTAAATACGGGTACTATGTGAAGTCTTTACTATTACCCAATATTCCACCGCACGTGTTGCATGTTAACGGTGCATTAGTGCCCGGATTAGCTGTACTCTACAATGGCGGTCATATTTTACGAGAAATTCCAGCGTAGAGATTTACTAGGCGTTCATGCTTACTCAACGCAGACAGATCCCCAACACTCCTACTTATCGATTTTGCTTTGCATCCAAACTCCCTTTTTTCTGTCCGAAAACATAATACTACGTTTCCACTGAACGCTATTTCAAGTTTTGTTTATGTGGCAGTATTATTATGCTAATATGCCTTGGACACGAACAAGACGCGTTTCGGCGGGAGTTCTGTTGTAATTTACAGAATTATGTCGTAAACTATTGTACATAACATTGTCTTTTTTTCACAATTTCAATGTTATTTAATAAAGAAGGATCTTATAAAAACCTAATAAAATAGATGTTTGAACATTCAAATTGAACATTTTGTAACTTTATTTTGAAAAATAATTTCTTTGCGATATTATCTTGGGAATATATTTATTATTCATCTTAAACCTGACCTATATTTTATATTGTTAAATGGTTACAACTATTCCTAGTTTTGAAGGAGTCCGAACCTTTAATACATGTAAGTAATTTAGCTGATACAAAGTTTAATATGGACTGTTCTACAGTTTAACAAAACGGCCATAACCTTGGTGATTTTCTTAATATCGTTCACACAGCGCTAACTCTAGTACAGCTCATGTTCTCGACACCAGTAACTCGGACTAGAACTATCTACATGGGGTACCATCACTTACCAAGGACAATTAAACACTATATGTGTTACAACTATTGATTTAGATTAGACAGAGCTGCAGACATGAAACTAAAGCAGATCAAGCATCAACTGACAAGGACAACACGGAAACTAAAACTAAATTCAAAAATATTCTGGAGACATGAAAGTGAGACAGATTTAATCATCAACTCAAGCCAAGACGGAAGCTTAAACTCCACGCAAAAGAACCAAACACTGAACACTGCAGCAAAGCACTGAGGAGACATTGAAACTGGAGCTAGATACCAAAAGACCAACCTCTACAGAATGGCATCGTTTCCTGCACTAAATGTGGTCCTCGTTAGGAAGTGTTATAGTATAGTCTGATATGGTTTGGTTTGGTTTGTTTTGTCCTAGGTCCTATTAACAGCTATGATCATTTAAGGTCGTGCAAGAGTTTAGGTAGAGGACAGTCGGAGTACCATGAGAAAGTCACCGACCTGCAGCTATTTCCTAACATGGTTGATCCGTAATTCGTAGACATATACATACCAGTGAACAATTTAAACTATGGAACTTAACAGAAATTATCATATTGAATTAACAGATTCAACTCTCCCGTGTACCCCACCCTCGCTATGAAAACAACATTTTATGTACATGAGTAAATATTATATTAATTTGTTTAATGATGGTACATTGTATGATCCCTGAGCCTTAAAAGCGACCAAATTGTCAAAACTTAATTCACTGGTCAACACAATGAGTTTTGTTTTCAGAAATAAAGTTTGAATTTTGCGCTTGCTAGATAGGAAGAAATCAAGACGCTTTGAAGATATGTTTGAAGGTATTGAGATTTGTAAACACTTGAATGTCTAATACTCGAGAAAACAAAAGATATATGTAAATTGAGACAGTTACATTGCAGCGTCAAGAAAAGAGCTATACATTTGTTTCTTAATTATATGAAAACAATAATGAATTAATGTATAATGAAACAAAAACCTCACGAGACCAGAGGGTAAAAGACACAACTTCGTGTGTGTTCGCGATAGATTGTGATGAAGGGATGAATTTGAGCTCGGATCACAGGACTTAGCTGGCAATGGCAAATCCAACTAGATTGCTTCGTTTGGCGGCTGTTCGGAATCAATATTACCAGATACGTGGAAACAAATAGATATGTGTTTCTGATTAAACACACAGACAATCTAAGGTATACCGTTGACATTTGTGGCAAGCTCATAACGGGAAAGAATCTTCAGTTCTGTCAAAATGGCCATTTCTGGAAGACGACATTTGACGTGTAGGGATGGTGGGGAAGGAACGAGATGACAGCACTGCTCCTAGTCGCCTACATGTGTAGAAGTTCTGTAATAGAGACATAAACAGTTTGTCTTGGTCGTTTTTAAAGCTTCTACAAATAAAGGACGAGCTGACGCTAATCCAGGGAAATAATATATATATATATATATATATATATAGCTTCTTTAAAACTGCACATGTGTAGGCCTTAACAAATAACACCTGCAGGGGGAAACCACGACGACTCTTGTAATGGTGATATTAATAGACAAAAACGTACAATATTTGAATTTAAGATCATTAAAGGAATATCTTAAACAAAACCCTGTGTGTGGTATTACTATAATATTATCGAAAATTAGAAAACTTGTATTGCCTGGCTTGTGTCAGTACAAAATAGGTCGTCTGCATCCACCTTTTTTAAAGAGCAATATATGGAAAAGGTCTTTGTGCTAGAAACTTCTACACATTAGTATATGATTTCTAAAATTTTACGGTTGTCAAATATAATATTAATCGCTTTAGTATATTGCTTTGATGAATTTACAAAAGACATTGAAAAAATTCTGGAGCTATTAAAGTCAGTGTCCCATTATCTCGAAAATGTATCGTCCGTATCCTTAATGACTTTCCTTTTGTTAGCCACTGATCAAATGGCATTTATTGATTAATTTTCAATTAAATTCCATTATATCGCATGCTGAAACGTCTACTATAGCGAAAATAAAGGTTGTGTCTTATAACGAACATTTGAAAGCTATTTCCATTAAAGCCAAGTCTCTGATGAAAGCTAGCTCTAGAGTTAGACGCCATTATATAATATGATACGACATGAAGGGTAAGCACCTGTTGTCCTGGAATACAGATTTAACTAACACTTATTAGTTATTAATCAGCGGAATACTCCAATGTATGAGTTACATGTCATTATCTTACAAATCCATCAATATTTACTGACCAACCTTATCGGGAATTCGATACACTAATCTACCCATGCCGAGACTGGACCGAGTAATTTACTACCACAGGTAACCGTCACACTGCAGCCCACAATCCACGGCCATTGTTTATGGTCGTACAACCAGTTGGAGTTTGTATCGGGAATCGTATGGGCTCTCAGCATGCAAATTTGTAATAAAGAATTAAGCCGCCAAGAGGCTGATGGACTTACAAACACAAACATCAGACGGAATTGCGAGATCTCGTGCCATCCATTTCTTTGGCTTTATTGGAGAATAATGCAATAGTCACCGACATACATTTTTTATTTTTATTATGAAGCAAATAGATTATATATTATTGTGTGAATCGAAAATGTATCATAAAGCATAAAGTTTAATCAAATTTCTATATATGCATGCATGTCATAAACAATACTTTAATGGGCTGCACTGTTGGCATTGGTGGATCAGGCAAAACTACTGTACTCTTGTTGGTCCTAGATATCTATTTTGCGTACTTCTTCACCGCGAGAGAAGGGCCATGTTTCATTATAACACGGTACATGCGGAGAGCAGACGGAATACTGGAAGAGCATGCGCACTAGGCTGAAAAATAAAGATTGTATTGTAGTTTGAGCGTGTACCTTGGGGCTTGCCCACATACAGTGCGGAAGGATATAACATGAATAAAAAACGATAAAAGTAGTCCAAGGGGAATTTCAGTTGATGGAAAATAGAATCATAAATGTATTTGAAACTTTCTTTTGAGGGATTGATCGTTGTTTACGACACAATGGGTTACGAGGAAAGGGGGAAAATTTTAACAATAATACTGTTATTTATTTTTTTATCTTTTTCTCAAGGTCCAGCAGCTGCTATCGTTGTATGGTGATCACTAAAAGGGCGGATAATATCTTACAGTATAAAGAAAGTAAGTATAACTAACCTCATGGCCACAAGACCAAATTCACTATAGGTACAGAATGAAAAAAACGCACGATACGGTATTATCACATTTGTCACCGGTGGTGTAAACCTGTATAGTATATTAATATTGCGAGCTTCAAAATATAAACAGCCTAAAGATATTCAAGTTATGACTGTGATGTACTTGGTCCTTCTCACTCACTCCACCTAAGAAGGTATATCGCTGTTGATAGTGTTTGGTTGTAATTTTGTGTAAATATAGTAATCTGGTTGTATTGCATTACATTAATTACATAACAAGAAACCACACTTTATGTAATAACTTTATATCAAACATTGTACATGTATAACAATGCATACACATCTAAACATTGTATAACAATACATATACATCTAAACATTGTATAACAATGCATACATAACTAAACAGTGTATAACAATGCATATACATCTAACCATTGTATAACAATGCATACATATCTAAACATTGTATAACAATGCATATACATCTAAATATTGTATAACAATGCATACACATCTAAACATCGTATAACAATACATACACATCTAAACATTGTGTAACAATGCATACAATCTAAACATTGTATAACAATGCACATACATCTAAACATTGTATAACAATGCATACATATCTAAACATTGTATAACAATACATACACATCTAAATATTGTATAACAATGCATACACATCTAAACAGTGTATAACAATGCATATACATCTAGACATTGTATAACAATGCATACACATCTAAACAGTGTATAACAATGCATAAACATCTAAACATTGTATAACAATGCATACATAACTAAACAGTGTATAACAATGCATATACATCTAACCATTGTATAACAATGCATACATATCTAAACATTGTATAACAATACATACACATGTAAACATTGTATAACAGTGCATACGATCTAAACATTGTATAACAATGCATATACATCTAAACAGTATATAACAATGCATATACATCTAAACATTGTATAACAAGTCATACACATCTAAACATTGTATAACAATACATATACATCTAAACATTGTATAACAATGCATACACATCTAAACATTTTATAGCAGCATTATTAAACAATGTATAAAAATACATGCAAAACATAGTATAACGACACTGTAAAACATTATAAACATATAAAATACCACCAAATATTAAAAATTATAACAAACGTACCACAAGGCTTAAAAAATACAACAGACTGTTACATTACAATGTAGCAAAGCATGGTTCGACGACACTGTTATTTGATTGAGTGTCACAACCTTTGTAAGATCTGTTCTCATGGAATTCCGAAAGGTTTCTCATACTTCATTGGCGTGCTATCGAAGATATCACTCAGTTGAAATGATATAGCGTTTACAAAGCATATGGATAGATATGGTTTGTTTCCTCTGTTACAAGTGTATACCGTCCGTAAGGACAGCTACATTTTTATCGTTCCTAGATCGAATCAACACGTGTATGGAGGCATTAAACGTCTACGTAAAACCTGCCCACAGCTCGTGTAGCCTGCCTTTCTGAGACATATCTGCTGATGCAACGTTCTGTACCCTCTATACAAAATCAAAAGAGTATCACAAATTTAAAGGAAAACGTCCTCGATTTCCCAAGAGATTCACAGAATAAAAGTGAAAAACGTTGGGCGAGGTGTATCGGGAAAGTGTCGGTGTGGCTAGATAGATGTCTCTATAATGATCCACTGACATTAAAGAATTCCGACTATTGCATCTGAAGACATGCTGCCTAATTTGTAGGCTAAAATCGATAAATCGCAATAAATACCCAACAGAGACTGGGGGCTTCTTGATCTGAGCTGATCAAATCTTTTCCAATAATATGATATTGTGCTCAAAATGTATTGTGTCGTAATCACAAATGAGGCACTATGATACAAAATGGCGTGTATGATAGAGCGACCCAATACAGCTGCCGTCTACACTGCCCTGAGTGCTAATGCTTTAGCCAGTGATAGTAGAGTATGTATTTGATTTTGTTTGCTATAATTTCACTGATGTAATTATGCTGTGCTTTTATGACAAAGTTTCCAGAAAAAAGGCAGGAAATCCATAGATAGCTCAGGGTTGCTATAGTTACCACGTGGATGGATGGAAAGTTTACTTGCGCGCTTTGTTCCCGTACGCACTCTCTAGTGCCATTCCCGCCAAATTGGCCGTTGTTTTGTGTTTATGTTACACCGGTGTATACGTATGACAGCATCGAACCTGTATCCGGTCTGATATCTGTTCGGTATCTTTAGGTCAAACGATACTTCATAGACATTCTAATTCTAGACTGAGAGACAAAACAGTGCTATACATATTCATCATATTGAGATGGAGAACTATGCAGTTGACATAGCACTCGTAAACCGCCTTTTAAATTCAACTTGGAACAGAAATTAATTTAATGATAGTAAAATGATTTTTTAAGAGATTCATGTCTACCGACATCTTATGTAGAAATGTATTGCAATTTCTGCTCTGCAGAGAACAACTGCACGCCTAATTTAGACATAAGGGGACTAACACGTAGCTGACATTGATTTATTGCTTTGGTTTTTGTGTGATGTCATAGCACAGTTCATAAATGGTGGCCTGCAACCTTGAAAGATTTGTATGAGAGCAGATCGCCTTATTTTGTATTCCCCCAGGAGGAGAAACCACAGGACATATTAGTGCATTTTCTTGTATATGAAATCAAAGTCTGTTGTTGGTGAATAAATTTGATAAATCTCTTGTTTGTTACAGGCGGCATGTGTTTCATTATGATTCAGAATCATTTTACGGATTGTCTACCATCCTGAATAAGGTTATTTTAAGGGGATTAGGACGAACAGGATGTCCCGTTGAATAGAAAAAGCTCGGTATAAATACTCCAAATATGATTTGTAAAATCGCCTATTTGATCACGGAAATGGTCTTTCCATGTAGAAATGCCGTCGAATTCTTGTGAGACTTGGACCGTGAATATATAATCCGGCTCCCTTCTGAAACTGCCTGTTCTATTGTTAGATGTAGAATTTACCGAGCGAACCCTCCCGAGGGAGGTTTCCTCCTGTCCTCTCCATCTCACATCAGACATGAAAGACGCAGAGTGGTAGCTTTGCTGGTGTTTTAACGAAGAGAACGTTTATATTAACTTGTTTCCGTTCTATCAGAGGTGGTGCGTTTTCAGAAAAAATATGAATTTTATGTCCTTTCTAAGGATCTTATCTTACATAAAAAAAATGTTCTATATTTTCTTGTCATTTTTAATGCATTTGAATGCCATCCCCTAAGATAAAAAAAGGTGTAAAATATTGTCATGAATCAAAAATTGATGTTTTATACTGAGATATCTATATCACCTGTCTGTAACAAACACCCGCCTTTAACTACCTCATACGTATTCTTTACCATAGTGACATGTCTACCACATGTGTGTTTTAAGGCCACCTGCCTATAACTACCTCTTTTTAAGATGGTGAATGTTCAATGTGTTGGTATTTATAAACAGGTTTCGTTGTATTTAAATTAAAGTTAATTGAATGGAAAACTAAATGTATCTCATAAGATTGATTTATCGATTAATCATTCAGGGAAATTCAACTGTAAAATGTTATTTTGGACCGTACAAAGTATCATAGGTTTATAGATAATGTAAAGAGGAATGTATAACATCGTCAAATAATCCGATTCCATCTTGAAATTTGTGTACACGGCAGTAAATGACTTTGGAGGTTAGTACTCTGCTCAGATTAAACAGGTCGATTCACACGGAGCAAGTAAAAAAATACGGATGGATAAATAATTTTGAAACAGCATTATTTGCACAGAATGGGAAGATCGTTTTGATATCGAATAATTGTTTGTTATATTTCCTGATTTACGGTTAAAGTAGAGATATACAGTGTATATTTTTAAATTTTCGTTTTTTGCGTACTTGAAATAGGTCATTTGAAGCAAAACTAAAAATAAATTCTTGAACTTACTTGAAGTATACATATTTGTTTTGTTTACAGAATATGAAGTTGCAAAAATGACACGTATACGGACAAATGTTCAAATCATGCTGCTATTTTAGAGAAAATATCCTCGTGGACTACACATATTCCTCTGATCATTTTAACAGCTAATGTGATCCTCTTTGTTAACTTCAAAGGGGCCGATAGCAGAAGTTCAATTTTGAAAAGTTAATTTCAAATATTAAAATAGAATTTACCGGTATAGGCAAGAGAAAAATTATGGGCTTCATGAGATTAGTACGTTAAACTAGTTTTTGGCGTCTTTAGTAGTGATTAGTAATTAACTTCTAATACCTTATTAGTGGAAGACGTCTTCTGTAGTTTAATTAACTACTGTATAACACGAAATGTTTTTGGGTGCCTTCCTTCGTGGTTTGACGCCACTTAGATTGTGTCGTAGTACAAACTTTCGTTGATATCTTATATTAACAAACAGTAAACACGTATATCATTCTAATTCGCCGTATTTATTTTCGTGGTTCAATAGCCACCACGAAAACCACGAATGTTCATTTCATGTTATACTGTATATAGTACGGTAGTAGTTGATGTCGTCTTCACAGTATGTGACCCAACTATACAGTTCCTTCAGGACCAGAATATTGTACTTGTTCTCCATTATCTTTTGATCACTAATCTTCCATCAGTATCATTATTTCGTTTAATATATTTAACAATTACACTGTTAATGAGATTTTAACTGAAGGCGTGGGCTAATAATGGTGTGCTGCACCCTACTGGTCCGGAATCAGAAGGCAATGTTTGTATCTTTGCTAAGTATCTTTTTCTCGCTGTACCCTTTAATTCAAACTCTTTACTATCCATTGAAGGTTGCAGATTACTTGAACCCCCTCCCTCCCACACACTCTTGTTAAATATTTACCTACATTGTACATATATCGCTCGGGTCCTGTGACTCGATTCGACTTGTGTTTCAGTGGGGACCGTGTAACTATAACATTTATGTTAATTTCTCCTCTTGTAAGTGATCTATATCATCTTCAGATTTCTGTAGTGGTCCAACGATCATGGCATTAAATCAGCTATAATTCAACCAAAACCTTGATCCGACATGAACAATACATTTAAATCTGGCTTTATCGATCATAAAACATATCAAGGTAAAACACCTTGGTGATTAAGTTGCTGAAAATAATCACCAGAAATTCGAAGCAATGAAGCATCTGTTAAAATTTAAGTTTGTCGGAAGGGCAAACAAAGTAAGCCTTTTTCTACACTTATGTGTCCATTTCGTCTATTGTGGACTCGTCTGCTAGAAAAGTTCTCAAAACTGAGAAATGTATCTATAGACTCTTTTACAGCGTTATAAATGTATCTATTTTTCAATTAGTACCTTATGTAAAACGTTGCAGATAGCATACGTTTAACATGAGATTTTAAAAAAAGCCGAACAACGTTGCTGAAATAGCTGCAGCACAAACAACATGCACCATAATTGCAATAGGAGGCAAAATGAAAGGACAGACAATAGCATCATAATGATGAAAAACAAATTAAAACATGAGCTTTCAAAAAAATACATCAGCAACAGACAATACGAGGCGAGGAGATTGCAAGCAAAATGGAAGACACTTTGTGGGTTCAGCAATCCATTGACAATACCAATGGGCCACAACTAAAGTGCTTTCTGAGGTGAACGGGTCATGATTTTCACATTAAAGAGATGTACAATAATATGAGGACGATGACAGTTAAATACTGCCTGCATGTTCTAGTTTTACAGCATGAATAAAACGTAATGCAGATTTAAAACTCGTTGAAGTACTAGCGCCACAAAGTGTGTAATTTACATAAAACGGTGGTTTTAAATATTATTTTCACGATTGTTATCAACTTCCATATGTTCTCCTCACAGAGGCATGCATAGCGTTCCCACTACGGTACAGCGATTTATGGTTTGTTTGTAGAGCGAGGAATGTTGTGTCATAAATTTTTCTGTAAATGTGTTAATTACAGGGTGAGAAGGATTTAGTATCCGAGCACCGTATTCGCTTCAGCCTAGCTGTCGTAACATTGTCTCTGCTTTCAGCGCTTTAGAGAGATTACATTCTGTTTCAAAGTCTTAATTAAAAAAACGATAGTGATTGCTGAAAATTGTGTAGTTGTAGATTGCTACCCCTTGGTTCAATTAGAAAGACTTTTGTAAGTTTGTAGTAATACCAGAGGGAATCGACCATGTAAAAAGGCCTTGTGGTTCAAATTGTTATGGAATGGTTATTTTTAGATGGGAGTTTTATTCTTGTAATTCTATATTTTCCTGCATTATTTTGAATAGTTATGCTCTGAATAACAACAATTTAAATATCTGTTACTAATATCGATATTTAGCAACAACGTTATCCTAGACGCATTCTTAAGTAAACAATGCGCTATATCAATGTGTAGCATACTATAGAAGGTCTTTCCGTTTGTCTTGATTCCAGGTTTATGCTTCGGGGGCAATTCCATCGAATCCGTCTGTGAAAAAATCAATGGGGACGCCACACTGCACACAATAGTTCGCGGTAAGTGTGTTGTAGCTAGTCGTGTTAGGGCGACACCTGGTGGTCAGCTGTCAGTGTACATGGCAGTCTAAGCGGGACAGTCAAACACTTATCTGACCAATCAGAGACTATGAATCTGTCATTGCAGTGTATATTGCCCATCCTTAATATGTTTTTAATTCTCATCAAAGCCCGAATCGGCCTGATATTTTTTTGATTTTGCTAATGTATGTGCATATAAAGTTTTACTATTGCTAGATAGCGTATCATGCTATTGTAAATCATATGCATCTTTATCAATAACCCATACTCCGTGCCATAGGTAGCATAGCTTAGGCTTATATGTGATGTCCAAGTATAAATAAAGATAAAAAGCGTCAAATTGTGATGAACGATTGGCTAAAATATTCAACTGAACTTGTAAACTTATCTCTGTATAACCTCAAAATCTTACTATAATATTGAAAATTGATTCTTTCAGAAATGCCACATACTTTTAAAAAAATAGTTTCTCTCTTGACTTGTTAAACTTAAGTTCAATGCATTGAGTCATACATTTTTGTATGTAAAGATTTGTATGTATTTGGTTCTAATAAGAATTTCCGGAATTGACGTAATCTGTTTAAATGTTTCAGTGCCCAGTGTTCCGGTGCCATGCCCATTCCAGGGTTATCACGAATTCTCCTATTCAAATAGCACCACGACAAACAACCACTGCAAATGGCCTGTCTCTCAAATACACGCATGCGCAGACGATTCGAAATTCAAATTTATCTACAAACATTGTAATGGCATGTCAGAGACATATGACCGAGGTAAGTTTTACATCAGTATTCTTTTAAATATACGCTTCAAACCAATATATTTTTCCAAAGTCCAATATATTATGGTTCTCTGTAACACATTTCATATAAAGATATTAGCGGATATCATAAAAAAGACACATTCTTTATTAAAGAAATATTTTTATAAATCAGTGTAAAAATATGAGCTCCTTAAAAGGTTTCTGGCAGTGTCGGTCACATAAAATTTGGTATTATCTAGCGTGTGTGTGTCAACAAGCTAAAGGCTACGTGTTACGAGAGGGGAATACGTATCGGTATAACCATAGTCTATTTCATCGTGTCAACAACCTGGTTTTGTTGACTTTATAGAAATAAATATATTTCCGATACAATATTATTTCAAGGCCAGTATATTGATAATCATTTTGTAAGTGAAAAGGGAAGTATAATAACATTGTGTCCCAGAGTTGTTTCTCATCAGTGCACGACTTCACATCGCATCATCATAGCTATTCATCACTGTTAACAAACTAGATATGAATAAGCAAATGATCGATCTGAAATGCTGCCCTTTGTGAAATCAAAATTGGCTTGCCTTGAAATGTACATCAGCAAATTAGAAATGGAGTAGAAGTTCATTCTGCTTTTCTTAATGTCCAGTCGGTCCAGACGAAATCAATCTGTTAGCTGTATGAGCCCCATTTCCACTGTAATGGATCCTAATAGGGAAATTTGAATCATATATTGCAGCAAAAGATCCAAGAATTGTGCTATGGCAGTCTATTAAGTAAACATTCAAATACATCTTTGTCACGAAAAAAGGAAAATATGATATCTACTTGTAATTGGGGTTGGCACATGTGCATTTTTTATTATGAATTTATATTCTCCTTTTAAAGAGAAAACTGAAAAGAAGACGAATCATGTTTAACGTCTGTTCATGTTAGAGTATTTGGTTATGACGTCACCTGTGTTGAGTTGCCGTTTTGTTTGTTACAGTGCTTGACTTCCAGTGCTTAGCCACGTGGGTTAACGGGGAAAAGTATTTGTATGGGAAGTTTACACATCCCTACAATCCAGACGTGCCCCAATACCGCTGCTTTGTAAGTATTTCTTTAGAAATAGACAAAGGTAAAGGGTACCAACAAGTCAAGTATATAATTATCCTTGTCACTATTGTGGAATAATTGTTTATCATTGTCACTATTGCGTCATAGTTGTTCAAGTTCCTTTCTAAAGAATATTTCATGAAATCACATATTGCAACGAATTTTACGAAATTGCAATTGTTGGAAATTTGAATGTTTATGAATATAGAAATAACAAAAAGAAAACAAGAAAAATGCAGGCGTTGAACTCTGACATTAACATTTCAAAATCAACACTAGTATTGCATCTAAAGAAGTGTTTGATTAAAGAGCTGAATAGAATATCCAAAACCTGACAGGGGAAGTTACTCTCAGCTAGAAAAAACTCTTTGTTGCCTCCTCTTCTATGTAGAAGGGAGAATACTCCGGGTCAAGACAACTCTGAGCGGAACCCTTCTGTGCAATTACATCTGGTGCAGTGGTACTCTTGACCTTAAACAAGTCATTTTGCAATTTATTATAGAATTGCAAAAAAAAAACCACTAGTTTGTTAGCACTCTAAGCGGAAGCCTTCTTTGAGATTATAACTGATGCAGTGGCATGCGTGACTTTAAACAAGTAATTTCGCAATTTATATAGAATTGCATAACAATATATTCAGTTTGTTCGAACACAGATAGAATTTGCTCCGAACTAAATTGATGTTTTCGTTTTGATATGGTTTGCGTCGAATTACAAGAGAAGGCATTGATGTAATACGTAACATCAATTTCTAACAAAGAGAATGGCAGACATTTATGTAGGACCAGATATTGTAATACAGTTACCTGATCTCCAGACACGTTGTATCAATCAGAAAACGAAGGTCTCTTCTCAATGACTCATTTTCTTCACTGCTATTTTTTTCTGTCTTGATTTATATCCATGCATTCTACAGAAATACATGACAAAATATATACGTCAAACATAATGTCTCAATGGAATTAACATTATTAAAATGTTTTAATTGAATAAAAAATATACATTATTGTCGTTATTGACCACATTGATGACATTATTTGATATTTTGAACTCTATTAAGGGCGGTAACTCTTATTATAAAAAGAAATGTGCACAATACTTTAAATGTGACAGCATGGTTGTATTTCGACAATAACAGAATCGTGCAATGATATGGGACCTGAGCTTTGTTTAGGTACCCATTCTTTGTCAGCGTTCAATTATCATATAAGCTCCACACTCCTTACCAATGTCAAATATCTTTGACTGTTTATTAGCTTAATAATAGTGCGTGGCGTTTTATTTAAATTGATGAGGATGCACGTTTTTTTTCTAATGACCGATTTAATTCTACAATGGAGAGCATATATACAATGTTATTATATTAATTCGCGAGAAACAATAGTACGATTTAATGATAAATGATGACATACTAATTATGTATTCTGTGAATTATTTTGCATTCACAGATTTTGATGGGTTTTTTTTCGAACGAGAAATATTAGTACCCTCCAACCTACATTGTAGGTAATTTATGTGATCACGTGGTGGACGAACACTAAGGTTTAATTATACAAAATGTTTCTGGAACAAGATACCTACAAATGTTGCAACTCGCACAGCGTGTGGACTGTTTACAAGCATGAACATCAATGACCACATTCAGATGGAATAAGTTAGCCTTGACCTGCAACATGAACCTCGTGTGGATATATATGTATTCGTGTCACGTGACTGATCCAATTATTCCTAATCACGTGATATGTGTGATTAATACCAGAGTCGATGTATGAGTAACTGTACCAAAGTGGGAGTATTTGCTGGAATACTGAATGGCATGCAAATTTTCGTAGGATAACGAGTTTGCTAACTACTCGGCAATTGTTGTGCTTCGGCCTGTACATTACTAGGGATTCCAGAGAAGAACTTAATAGTTATAACAGCGTTATAGATAATGACCCAGCATTTCTGTACAATCAAACTTGTGCTAATTCCGTCCACAATAACGCTACTTACCTCCGCAGGCTGTCGTGGAGATTCATTAAATGATCGAATTCCCTGTCCCTTAGAAGCATGACTACAGCAGAAAGCGATGAACTCTATACAGATCCTCACGGGTCCTATCTCAACACAATGTAGAAGTTAAAATAGAAGTACAGTTTAGAATGACAATCACGATTTTTCCTAAACGCAGTATATATTCATTTACCGTAATGCATTTCATATAAAAGAGCCGAGTTGATACACGGTATTAGGGGATATCATGAAAAATAACAGACACATACATTAAATTTAACAACGGAAACACGATATTTGGCGAATACATGTGTGTTATTCAAGGAAGTGATTGCGAGTTATCGGTTTGGTTCTTATTGACTTATTTTAGTCATTGTTGTTCCATTGTTTATGAGCTTAAGCTTTTAAAGAGGGTACATTCGAATAATGACAGACCGATACATTCTTGACTGAGATGAGCTACCGAACACTTTTGAAACAGTTTAATGTGTAACACTTACAGCATCGTCCGGGAAACATGGTTTACTGTGTCTGTGTCCGTAATGTGTGCCACTTCTGTTAGTTCAGGAGAGCCTACGTCTATTTAATGTCTAACTGCCATTTTATGACAGGGCCATTGCCCTTGTGATACAAACCAAACTATATGACCATCTTGTCTCGTCCAGATGCACAGTTTCTATGGCGGTAACGGAGATATGTCTATGACAGTTGACGGGACCTGTCAGGGACTACAGAGTCCTAGCGTCGGCTTCACCACAATGAAGCTCCAGAGAGGTAAGATCCAGACATTCCATCATCCTGTCTTCAATGCATGGCAAATTTTGGCATTCAGTCAAAGAGGGCCATCAATCTGGGCTCGATAAATGGCTTCAATGCGGAACCAACAAATAAGCTATACTACTCTAAAGATTGTTGCTCTTATGTCTTAAAATCACATTTTATGTTTTTTTTATAGTTATGCTTTGCCTTGCATGTAAAAGCGACGGAATTGATAAAATGCCATTCCTTTAAAAAAAGGTGTTATGTAAGGGGAAAATCCGTTAAATCGGAATCACGCTTAAATCCATTGCGTGATTTGAAAAATTATTTACCTAGTACAGATTACTTTCACGGAAAGTTAAAAGCTGGAATGTCTTTCCTTCGTAGTTTAATGAGTTTCCTTGCTTTTTGGTTGCAACATACTTGATTCCGAGGTAGTCTCAAAATAATCACTACCACCGATTTGAATGTGTGTGAACAGGTTACATTTATCGTAAATGACATTTGTCTGACTGCTTGTGGCTTGGACGATTTCCTTTTAGCTTTACAGCGACACCTGTTGGAAACCAGATTATAAACCACCCATAACTCTTATCTGTTATAGAGCCATCTCTACGATATCTATACTTCTAAATAAATCAATGACTATAATGTAGAAATTCAATCTCCAAACTGAGTTGTCCTATATATATATATATATATATGTATATACACACACACCTTTCTACTCATAGATACTGTATTAGAAAAAAAGGCGGATTTGTGTTACTTTATTAATATATCTGTCATGTTATTGTTTTTTTTAAACTTGACAGATTATTCTTTTTAAGTCTTTGAAAGAAGTTTCGTATGAAAAGCAATCGATCTGTTAAAGATTAGAAATGTGATTCGGGCTTGCAGAGACAAATGAACCTGCCGAGAAAACCCAATTAACCCACATTGACTCAGCTGGTAGTAAGCATGTGGATCGATTGTCAATATGTAGTTGATACACATTTGATACGGTGTTGAAATTTCGATCAAATGAACAACGACAGGAGAGCTGTTATTTATCCACTCCCTCACTGCCATGCAATTAGGATAGATTTACAGTGTTAACTGTCTTACTCTGTAACAAACGGATTTAAACACAAGAAATACTAAATTTAATGACACCAAAAATATAATAATCATTTTTTATGTTTACTTTGGATAACCATTTTGTTTTTATTTACTAAGGAAAACCATTTTGTTTATAATTCCATATGATGATCATTTTGTTTATATTTGCTTAGTTTGACAATTTTGTTTACTGTATTTAAGTTTGATCATTTTTTTTTTATATTATCTGAGGTAGATCATTTTCCGTTTATTTTTTCTGAGATTGATCATTTTGTTTTTAGTATTTCAGATTGACTACTTGGTATCTTAGGGTAATAACTATGTTTATATTATCTAAGGATGACATTTTTGTTCATATTATCTGAGGGCGATCTTTTAATTGTTAAAGGGTGAGTATTTGGTTTATATTATCTGAGGGCGATCTTTTAATTGTCTTAGGGCGATCTTTTAATTGTTTAAGGGCAATTATTTTGTTTATATTATCTCAGGGCGATCTTTTATTTGTTTAAGGGCAATTATTTTGTTTATATTATCTGAGGGCGATCTTTTAATTGTTAAAGGGAAAGTATTGTGTTTATATTATCTGAGGGCGATTCTTTTGTTAAAGTGATCTAAGGACTTTGATTTCGGTTCAAATTAGATTTTCCCCAGCGTCTTTAAGGAGGGTTTGGAACCATGGTTTTTGTTTTAGTTCGAGAATAATCATTTTGTTTATATTATCCGATGGTGTTAATTTGCTTATATTATCAGATGGAGATTTTTTTTTAAATCGGAAAAGATTTGCTTGTGTATATTTTCTGAGGATGATCATTTTGTTTAAATTATTTATTATATTATATCTGAAAGGGCTAATTTCTTTATGTTCTACTAAAGTGATAATATTAATATGAGAATATGTACTTTTATTTTCAGATTTAACGATTTGGAAAATATTTATTTGTTTAAATAATTACATGATGTATTGACCTTATAACCAGTGCATACATTTTCTGTTTCATAATAATACGAATTTAGATACCGATATACCGGTTTTGTCTTTAAATGTCAGACATCATCTTTTGTCGCTTTCTTTCAATTCAGATTTTGAAGGAACAATATGGCCAACACCACAATGTCGGTTCCCCGAATTTTTCCATCGCCGGAAACACTGGCGAGATATGTCTGGTCGCTTTGTCATAGAGGTTGACGAAGGACTCCAGATCTTCCGAGTGAAGGACAAGTCAGTGACGTCACCAGATATGGTCGTTTACAGTGAGGGCAGCTACCGGTCGGATATGAAGATGGTCGTACGATGTATTGATAATGTAGACAGTTCTCATCGTCACGAACGGGAATTCATGGCACACGTGACCGACGACGCATGGTATGATATTTATGTGTTTTAAATTATGACGAAAATGTGTGCCTCTAAGTCGAATACTTTAAAATGTTGAAGCCTCCATGTACCCTAAAGAAAACAATTAAACACAAACAAATATATATTATATATATATATATATATATATATAATAAAAAGGGATTAAATGTCCATGTGAAGGAAGTAAATATAGAAAAAATAAGATTAACGACCGACTAAAAAACTAGCTGCTTTCACTAAATATATATATATATGTTTGAATTTTTCATCTTAAATGGTTATTTATTAGTAATTTAAGCAACCTTTTTCTTTCGATTTTACAGATAGTCTTTTTGAATTTAGTTTTAATACTTTTGTTTTTGGTAAAATAAAGTACAGAATTGCTAGATGTTGTATTTGGCAATTCTTATTTTTTATAGTTGCTTTACTTGTTAGTCAGGTATTGCTCCGTTCAATCATAACAGTAGTTTTACATTGGATTCTGATCGATTCTTCAAATGTTTGCCATTATGAGAAAAATGTTCCCCGTCCCTACAGATGTGGTGCTTACTCTCACAAATGTAACTAAGTATCAATCGTACACTAATAGTTCATGCCTGATTTGAAACACATTTTCCCTATAAAATCTTTAATTATTTTCATGCATTAACAGTGTTTCCGGATATCGATGTCTCCGATTGGTCAAACGAGAACCTAAAGTACTAGAACTATATATTAGTAAGTATATCAAGTCCGATCTCCGCTCTGACTTTCCCCTATTGGTTTCCTCTTCCTTTTTTCTACGTGCTTGTATTACATACTGATACCCAGCTGGTAATGCTTGTTTCGATTTTTATTGAATACTTTAACATGAGTGCATTCGTCTCCAGTGGAACACCGATCTTCACTATTTATCGGTACCTGGATTAGTGTACACCTGCTTAAACTTACCGACAATGTTTATGTTCATACCCATCACAAAACTGAGACGAACTTATCTTTTCTTAAGTTGCTACTGTAAAGAAAGTCAAATTTGGAAAATAACTAAACTAGCCATAAAGGACATGTGGTAGATATAGGGAAATGGTAAATATAGATAGTTGGTACATATAGACAGGGAGTAGCTATAGGGAGATGGTAAATATAGATAGATGGTACTTATAGACAGGGAGTAGCTATAGGGAGATGGTAAATATAGATAGTTGGTACTTATAGACAGGGGGTAGCTATAGGGAGATGGTAAATATAGATAGTTGGTACTTATAGACAGGGGGTAGCTATAGGGAGATGGTAAATATAGATAGTTGGTACTTATAGACAGGGGGTAGCTATAGGGAGATGGTAAATATAGATAGTTGGTACTTATAGACAGGGGGTAGCTATAGGGAGATGGTAAATATAGATAGTTGGTACTTATAGACAGGGAGTAGCTATAGGGAGATGGTAAATATAGATAGTTGGTACTTATAGACAGGGAGTAGCTATAGGGAGATGGTAAATATAGATAGTTGGTACTTATAGACAGGGAGTAGCTATAGGGAGATGGTAAATATAGATAGTTGGTACTTATAGACAGGGAGTAGCTATAGGGAGATGGTAAATATAGATAGTTGGTACTTATAGACAGGGAGTAGCTATAGGGAGATGGTAAATATAGATAGTTGGTACTTATAGACAGGGAGTAGCTATAGGGAGATGGTAAATATAGATAGTTGGTACTTATAGACAGGGAGTAGCTATAGGGAGATGGTAAATATAGATAGTTGGTACTTATAGACAGGGAGTAGCTATAGGGAGATGGTAAATATAGATAGTTGGTACTTATAGACAGGGAGTAGCTATAGGGAGATGGTAAATATAGATAGTTGGTACTTATAGACAGGGAGTAGCTATAGGGAGATGGTAAATATAGATAGTTGGTACTTATAGACAGGGAGTAGCTATAGGGAGATGGTAAATATAGATAGTTGGTACTTATAGACAGGGAGTAGCTATAGGGAGATGGTAAATATAGATAGTTGGTACTTATAGACAGGGGGTAGCTATAGGGAGATGGTAAATATAGATAGTTGGTACTTATAGACAGGGGGTAGCTATAGGGAGATGGTAAATATAGATAGTTGGTACTTATAGACAGGGAGTAGCTATAGGGAGATGGTAAATATAGATAGTTGGTACTTATAGACAGGGAGTAGCTATAGGGAGATGGTAAATATAGATAGTTGGTACTTATAGACAGGGAGTAGCTATAGGGAGATGGTAAATATAGATAGTTGGTACTTATAGACAGGGAGTAGCTATAGGGAGATGGTAAATATAGATAGTTGGTACTTATAGACAGGGAGTAGCTATAGGGAGATGGTAAATATAGATAGTTGGTACTTATAGACAGGGAGTAGCTATAGGGAGATGGTAAATATAGATAGTTGGTACTTATAGACAGGGAGTAGCTATAGGGAGATGGTAAATATAGATAGTTGGTACTTATAGACAGGGAGTAGCTATAGGGAGATGGTAAATATAGATAGTTGGTACTTATAGACAGGGAGTAGCTATAGGGAGATGGTAAATATAGATAGTTGGTACTTATAGACAGGGAGTAGCTATAGGGAGATGGTAAATATAGATAGTTGGTACTTATAGACAGGGAGTAGCTATAGGGAGATGGTAAATATAGATAGTTGGTACTTATAGACAGGGGGTAGCTATAGGGAGATGGTAAATATAGATAGTTGGTACTTATAGACAGGGAGTAGCTATAGGGAGATGGTAAATATAGATAGTTGGTACTTATAGACAGGGAGTAGCTATAGGGAGATGGTAAATATAGATAGTTGGTACTTATAGACAGGGAGTAGCTATAGGGAGATGGTAAATATAGATAGTTGGTACTTATAGACAGGGAGTAGCTATAGGGAGATGGTAAATATAGATAGTTGGTACTTATAGACAGGGGGTAGCTATAGGGAGATGGTAAATATAGATAGTTGGTACTTATAGACAGGGAGTAGCTATAGGGAGATGGTAAATATAGATAGTTGGTACTTATAGACAGGGGGTAGCTATAGGGAGATGGTAAATATAGATAGTTGGTACTTATAGACAGGGGGTAGCTATAGGGAGATGGTAAATATAGATAGTTGGTACTTATAGACAGGGAGTAGCTATAGGGAGATGGTAAATATAGATAGTTGGTACTTATAGACAGGGAGTAGCTATAGGGAGATGGTAAATATAGATAGTTGGTACTTATAGACAGGGGGTAGCTATAGGGAGATGGTAAATATAGATAGTTGGTACTTATAGACAGGGAGTAGCTATAGGGAGATGGTAAATATAGATAGTTGGTACTTATAGACAGGGGGTAGCTATAGGGAGATGGTAAATATAGATAGTTGGTACTTATAGACAGGGAGTAGCTATAGGGAGATGGTAAATATAGATAGTTGGTACTTATAGACAGGGGGTAGCTATAGGGAGATGGTAAATATAGATAGTTGGTACTTATAGACAGGGGGTAGCTATAGGGAGATGGTAAATATAGATAGTTGGTACTTATAGACAGGGAGTAGCTATAGGGAGATGGTAAATATAGATAGTTGGTACTTATAGACAGGGAGTAGCTATAGGGAGATGGTAAATATAGATAGTTGGTACTTATAGACAGGGAGTAGCTATAGGGAGATGGTAAATATAGATAGTTGGTACTTATAGACAGGGAGTAGCTATAGGGAGATGGTAAATATAGATAGTTGGTACTTATAGACAGGGAGTAGCTATAGGGAGATGGTAAATATAGATAGTTGGTACTTATAGACAGGGAGTAGCTATAGGGAGATGGTAAATATAGATAGTTGGTACTTATAGACAGGGAGTAGCTATAGGGAGATGGTAAATATAGATAGTTGGTACTTATAGACAGGGAGTAGCTATAGGGAGATGGTAAATATAGATAGTTGGTACTTATAGACAGGGAGTAGCTATAGGGAGATGGTAAATATAGATAGTTGGTACTTATAGACAGGGAGTAGCTATAGGGAGATGGTAAATATAGATAGTTGGTACTTATAGACAGGGAGTAGCTATAGGGAGATGGTAAATATAGATAGTTGGTACTTATAGACAGGGAGTAGCTATAGGGAGATGGTAAATATAGATAGTTGGTACTTATAGACAGGGAGTAGCTATAGGGAGATGGTAAATATAGATAGTTGGTACTTATAGACAGGGAGTAGCTATAGGGAGATGGTAAATATAGATAGTTGGTACTTATAGACAGGGGGTAGCTATAGGGAGATGGTAAATATAGATAGTTGGTACTTATAGACAGGGAGTAGCTATAGGGAGATGGTAAATATAGATAGTTGGTACTTATAGACAGGGAGTAGCTATAGGGAGATGGTAAATATAGATAGTTGGTACTTATAGACAGGGAGTAGCTATAGGGAGATGGTAAATATAGATAGTTGGTACTTATAGACAGGGAGTAGCTATAGGGAGATGGTAAATATAGATAGTTGGTACTTATAGACAGGGGGTAGCTATAGGGAGATGGTAAATATAGATAGTTGGTACTTATAGCCAGGGGGTAGCTATAGGGAGATGGTAAATATAGAAAGTTGGTACTTATAGCCAGGGGGTAGCTATAGGGAGATGGTAAATATAGATAGTTGGTACTTATAGACAGGGAGTAGCTATAGGGAGATGGTATATATAGATAGATGGTACTTATAGACAGGGAGTAGCTATAGGGAGATGGTAAATATAGATAGTTGGTACGTATAGACAGGGAGTAGCTATAGGGAGATGGTAAATGTAGATAGATGGTAGTTATAGACAGGGGGTAGCTATATTGTGATTGTCAATATAGAAAGATTGTACTTACGGACAAGGTGTAGCAATAGAGAGATGGTAAATATAGATTGATGGTACTTAAAGACGGGTATAGGGTGGGGTTAGTACTATCTATCTTTACTTTATTTACCATCATAGCTACATCTTGACAAGATGTTGCTATGATGGTAAATAAAGATAGATAGTACATGTAGTAGTGTAGATATAAAGAGATTGTAGTTACAACATGGACTATTGCTATTGAGAAGTTGTTGTTATAAATACATGGTTGTTATAGACAGGTGGTAGTTTAGGACGGGTAACAGTTATTAACAGGTGGTGCTCACAGCCCAGTGGTTGGGATGAACAGGTTGTTACTATAACCAAGTGGTAATTAAAACACAGTCGTTGCTATAGGCAGATGATAGTGTATATGTTTTCCTGTGTGCATATTCCCCCTCAAGCTTATACTATCAACATGCAACTATTGCATTATGTTGACGTTTTAACTACTGTGACGTTGTTAATTAGATGATGTTATTGAATAATAAAATCAATCTTCTGTAAAGGTACCCAGCTCGGCAGCAGACACGAAGCTTGTAGCGATTCCAGTTTTGACAATGGCGAAAAGCATGTGTTGATACGTGAGTATTTTCACTTGATATCATCATGTACTGATGATAATTTAAATACTTATGACATTCTATTGATATGTTATTGGCGCACAAGCTAGTCAGAATATCATTAAAAGATAAATACGAAATCATTAATCATTATGGTTTGATACTTGTGTTAAATAAATCAAATGTGTTATTTCCAGTTAAGGGGAGGAAACTATAGTTTCTCGAGGTGTTAAAATATTTCGAATCAAATGAATTATTCATCAGAATATTTATAATTGTAATCTTAAATAATTCCATGAATGCTATTCATTGGTATTGATCATGCCCAAAATAAGATGTAAATAGATTTCTGGGCCGCATAACACGTGATGTACTTATGACTTTTCATATTGGTATGACCAGAAAGAAAAAAAAAATGAGAATGTTTTTTTCTTCTGCACTTATCATTCCGCGTTCTAGCATGATCGACCGTGAACGTCCAATACAAAAATGTTATGTTATTTACGAATATCATTAATTTTTTTATCAGCTGCTGGTCTTGAAGCCACCAATTGCCCTACGGATGGAGATTTCAGCTTCATCGACAAAACTACAGACTGTACGGGTAGATTTAAAATAGGATGCACATCGAAAACAGGAATGGTGGTGGAGAAAAAATGTCCTTTCAACCGTCAGTCTGGTAAGTGTTAACGCAGCCTCGTTGTAAGACGTATCTCTCGTGTTTATAACACCTAGGTCACATCCGGGTTGTTATGACATATACATATATATATAATTCAATACTTTATATACAAACATTAACCTTTAAATACATGATAGTGCTTGTATCTTGTATAGACAAAGCGCAATGTCATTTTTCGTTTAAATACGTTATGATGTGTAGAATTACAAATATGGTTATAACTTTATGGGGCTTAGATAGTCATACGTTTGCAGTGCAATGTGTTATACGTTTTTATGATTGTTAACATAGAAACAAACCACAAACATAACATAGTCTCTAAAGATAAGCTTGAGTTTTTAAAATCACTCTTTTCATACCTTTGAAATGCCTTTGCAACATTTGGTTTTTGAAATAAGATATGTTGTGTATATTTTTACAGTTGAGTTCATGGACTGTCTGTTAGACTTCAAGAAAGATGGCACGCACTACGTCATCGTTCAGAGGCCTAAAGATATTCACAAACGTGCAACGTGCTTGGTAAGTAACCATGATTATATGAAATATATTTTACATACGTTTGTCTAACAAGATCATCGTCATACACATATATACATTTTATTTGATGTCATATGAAACAACAACAAAAAAAAAGAAGCTTTTATTGGATAATAAATAATAAAGCGTACAAGCTTTAGAAAATGTTTTTTTTTTCGAAATACCACTATCTTTATAACACAGAAACTAAATTTATTATTTAAAGCTGATGGAGCCGGAATTGGCAATATTGGCTGGATCAATTTAATATTCTCAACTAAGTGATCTATAAACCAGATATCACAACTATCCTAATATGAAAAGGCCCCGAAATTATGTTACAAGCAAGTTGTATGCTAACAAGTTCGAGTTCGATCTTTGTTTCCTGGGTATGTGTTTCTTATTACTAAAAATGTTTTCTAATTCTACGAAAAGATTCATTATTTTTCTGGATCAGTACTTAGTAGTTGCCGCGGTGGCCAAGTGGTTAAGGCGTCTAACATTCTGCTACCACTAGCCCTCCACCGCTGGGTCGCGGGTTCGAGACCTACGTGGGGCAGTCGCCAGGTACTGGCCGTCGGTCGGTGGTTTTTCCCAGGGAACTCCGGCTTTCCTCCACCACCAACACCTGGCACGTCCTTAAATGACCATAGCTGTTAATAGGACGTAAAACACAAACAAATCAAATCAAACTTAGTAGTTTTAAGGTTTAAATACATATTTTAACTTAATGATACGGTACTAACAAATTCATGATTTCTTGGACTGGGAAGTCCTGGATAATTATATGTCTCATCAGATTATAACCGAGATGTACACTTACAGGCTTTCCGTGACACAGAAGGTGGGATAGACGTTAAAGAGGACTCCGAGTGTGGTGCTAAGAGGAGCGTCGTCAGGAACAGTGCAATACACTACGTACTCTTCAAACCGTCCAGTAAGTCTTTTGTCTCCTACGTAAAGTGCAGCGAAACCAGTTTCATTCCGAGCAACACTCTGTAGAGGATCAGCTATTTCAATCTTCACTAGTGTTGGTTAGGTTTTTAATGTGAAGATTTGGGCTGTTTAAGAATCGTGGACGCCTGTAAAGAATTATCCTAGTGTTTTCAAGTGAATGATCAAATGAATCGGGTGTTTTCTTCTGGGCCCATTTCTTTGGGATACAGAAGAGACAAGGATTACTCTGTTGCTCCTACTGTATGGTAACGGTCTCTGTATGTTTTCTTTCACCTTTTCTTTCTTACGGTGTGTGTTTTGCAGGTGTCTTTCTTGGTATCTTCAGTTAATCTGTGGTAAGAAAATTGTGTCAGGATAAAGAGTCTTGCTTCCGTGCCCAGGTTAAATCTAAAACATAATTAGTGATTGTTTACATAGAATGTTTTCTATTGGACTTCCTCGTGGCTATGGTATCCCGCTAATTCGTGGCGTCGATATATTAAATATACTAATATTTATTGACTATATAATATTAAAATACAGCATATATTTTTAGATTATTTAATCAAGTGGTGTTACGCACCTGTCCCCTCCTTTTCAACAGTAGATAAGACCATTTTAAACGATTTCCAACCTTTTGGTCCCTCGCATCACTGATGAGTCCACGATGGACGGACAAAACAGCTGTTTGATGCAGTATAATTCATTTAAGCATGGTATATCTTAAACCAAGTTTTAAAGGTGTTATCACTTGTATGTGTTTATTTTTCGTCCTTTAGATAAGGTTATAAGTCAGGCATCATTCGAAATTGATTTGGGGAATAAATGATATGTTGTAGGGTCAGTTTTGATAAGTTTATGATTCAGCATCCATTAAATATGACATAGAAAATTTTAAGAACGACAGCAAGAATCTGTTGAAATAACTGATAATCATTATGCATGTCGTTTGTTTCCTGTTCCACTGATCTTGTAAAAAGACCACGTACACGTCGTAAATGATTTTTTTTTTTGTGTGTCGAATTTCATAATACAATGGATGGGGAGATATACCTTATTACTTTACCTATAATTGGTGTTATGTCTGTCTGGGTCTTGGGTTTCCATTTCAAAGGTTGCCAAATATAGTCTTCAAAAGTATTGATTATATATCCAAATTCTCTTCCATCAGAATATGGCTTACCCTCTCAGCAGCACACTACTTTTAAACTAATGTGCGAAATGTTCCTTGGTTAATTAAATTGTTGCATTTCCTGTTCACTATTATAGTCCGTTGCCTGTTTGTTAGTAGGGCAGTAAATTATAGATATCCGTACACTGCCTGAAGTAAGGCGGTTAACCTGTCATAAGTCATAAAGTCATAACAGTGTCCACTAATCTTAAAACAATGTTTGAACCCTATATAGGTACGTGGTTTCCTTCAAAAACGTCTTTTTAATGCAGTTTTACACGGTGGGACACCGATAGTTAAAATAAATTGGTTTGAAAGAATAAAAGTATCTTTCGGCGAGGAAGTTTAACTGCTTGAGATATACGACTAGAAATGAAATTTCTTTGTTTATCTAATTCCAGATTTAACGAGGTATCTGTCTACATTGAATTAAAACAAAAGAAATACCAAGTTTACTTATCTCTTTTCAGATGAATGTCCACGAGTAGTGACCTACACGCCAACTCCTACCGAAGTTTATAGACCGAATGATGATACAGGCAATTCTGGCCAACCTGACCAAGAGATCGAAACTATGGACGACCAAGGTCTAAACAAAGAACACAGTGGCAAAATCATATCTGAAGATTCGGACAAGAGGCCGGTTGACCGCTCCAATGGCGTGATCAATGCGGAAAATGCCGGAGTCAGTCCACGAACTAATGTTTCGCTTATTTTCTGTGTGACCATCGTGATATTGGCGTGTTTACTCCAGAGGTGATAGCAGTATTTCTCTGTGAGAGCGAGAGAGAAAGGGAGTGCTTGAGAGAGTGTAAGAAAAATAGTGTGGAAGAGTGGCGAGAACCAAAAAAGGGACACATGTTTGTACATTACCGAGAAGTGCTCAACAAATCAGAAGATAACGATAATATCTTCAAACCATGAAAGGCGATTGAGGGAACTATGTACGTACGGCTAACAGGGTAACGTTATGCTAAGGGACCCACAGACTATTTTGTGTGCCCACAGATACGATCGTTTACAGCTCCATTCTCTTGCCAATTACAGGATGGTCACGTGACACGGTGAATAATTTCTTTACAGAACGTGCGTGTCAAGGTCATACTATTCTTGTCATTATCACGTGTCCGTGTCAAGTTCGTGGAACAATGTTCAGATGTGACGGAATACAGTAATAAAGATCACACGGAACGGCTCGGTCACAGGACTTTCTCAAATGTCATTTCGACAAGGTCTGAACTGTTTCACTGGCGAGACGACGACGAATACATAGTGGTTTCCATGGAGCCGCCGCAAGTGAGCCATGTGTGAGCATCACTGTGTTCAAAACATGCTATTGTTTCGTTCCATGTGTGTTTATGTTTTCGGATGCCAGCCTTAATGAACGACGGTCGCATATCCGGTATTTACATGATATAAAGTGACTGTTACAATATCCACATGCATTGGATTTTAAGACATTCTGTTATTCGACCGCGAGTAAATGGTCAAGACAATGTCGAAGGATATTTAAAAGTACGTTTTTAGTCAACACGAGACTACCTAAGGTTTAGCTCATCAGTAACCAGAACGCATGTGGATACATACACGTGACTGTATACAAATGAACAATTACGCCGTTGAATTAAGGGATGAATTCAAAGACATTCCGAGTTTCCGAGCATGGAAACTATTTTAACGCCACCTTTTAAAGGGAGGTAATCTTGCCTACAATTTGTAGCTGCAATATTGTGATATGATATAACACTATATGATTATTATGATGTTAGTCCCTGTAAGAACTAATGACTTAGCTTGTTAAGCGTTAAATATATTGTATTTTATGTGTGGTGCTACATGTGTTAGTTTGTGTGATCTCAGATCGTCCTAAAGGTTCCTATTTCTCAAAAATAATTAAGTTCGGACTAAACGTCTTGTGCTATTTGTTTAATTATGTTTCAAGGTTCTGTTTCTCAAACCTTTCATCTAAAATTTTCAGTTTTGTAGTAGTTCACTTAATACGGTAAAATATTAAATAGCAATGACAAACCTGAGTTCGAACCTGATCTTATTTGTGAGAAATTTGAACCAAGAGTAGTATTTAATCGTAAGTTTAAGTAATAATAAGGCACATTTATTATTTGTAATATGGTATTATCTATAAGGAGAAAGGATAACGATTTAAATTTAATTTGGAAATGAATTGATTAAGATCATGGTTATCATGGCTTTAGTTTTTTACTGTTTATTTCTTATATTAAGCACACACTTTTTTTCGTGGACGGACATTTTTTCCATATTTATTGGCGAGTATATTCTTGTTTTATTCAGCGGGTATGTCTTGCACTGTGTATTAATGTTCGCCCGATACTTTATTTCGAAATTGATGCTTAATACATATTTGTACGAGAAAAATAGAAGAAGCGAAATATACGTAATATACAGAACTCGGACTAAATTGAATCCAAAACATTTTTTTCACAAAAATAAAATTGGTCAACTGTCAAAGTTGTATTAGGTAAACAATTTTTAGTTTTAGTTTAAACATATTTTATTGCAATATAATTACAAAAGGATTGAACACAAGTTATTGTAACTTATAGGTTAACAATCATCGATGTAGGTTATATATTTTTTCGGTTATACTGTTTTGGTAGATATCAATACACTAATTCGTGCTAAAATGAATAATAACCTTCCCTCATTATATATAACTGTGGTTAATAGGTTTTTCTGTTCGCTCTGAAATGCAAAGTGTAAAGTTTGTCATTTATATCAATTTAAATATACAAATAAGCGAATTCGTATCTATCAAACCAGTTCTAAATGGCTAAATGACGATAAATATGTTTTTCAGTTTAACAAGAAGTACACACTCACTCTAGGCATACTAACATATTTTACTAGTTTTTTGTTTTGTTTTTGTGCCAAAGTTATTTTGTAAAATATTCTAGAAACTCAATTTTGTTTTACATTGTTCCCGTTTGATTCGCTATAGATATATGTGTTTTTTAAATCCAATGCGTTTCAGTGACCGATTGATTGTATTCGTCACTCATGATGAGTATACTGAGTTTCTAAATAATCTGAAGAACTCCTGCTAGTTTGGGGCTCAATCCTGCTCCTGTAAGAAATACTCGATACCTTTATTGAGATTGATATGATTTTGTGATAAAACTATTTTATTCCAAATAAGAGACTAAAACAACTTTCCTTTTCATTTAAAAAAATATATTGGGCCAACGAATCAGCTCGAATGCCTGGTATTTTCTGTTTCTATTAATTTTCATATCGGACAAATGTTGCCCTCAGTAATCGCATATATAATTGCGCTGTTGCCTTCAAAGCTTTTAGTATGAACATTGATAAGTGAATTAGTGTTATCAGTCATTATACAATACACTTTATAGTGAAAAACGCTTTTATTTTAATTGCGTCTGTATTCATTAACTCATTCACCCCTTAAGACACATTTGAACCCCTCTAATCCAAAGTTTGGAATATTTCATTATGAAATTTTAGGGGTGAATGAGTTAAACCTGAATTACTACTCAAAATTGGTTTTTATATCTTGATACTTTGTTTATTTGGGTTTGAACTTCAGAGATTTTGTTTCATATGTGTACAATAGGAAATATTTTGTAACAATGAATCATGTAATGTTTCATGTAAGTAGTTTAGTGTGGATAAAATTACCATAAATACAGACTAAATACTACGTTACTTATAAGCATTCACGACGCATGTGGAATACTGCCCTGGACGGCTTCAGGTGGGGTCTGATTACATTTGCTTTTATTTTCTTGATACCTCTATCAGACCTCTATCTGTTTGTCCGACTGTTTGAAGGCAGTGTGATATATACTTTTATTAAGTCCTACGCATGTACGTAATGAATCTACATTTTTGTATATACACATTCTCAATATAAATATATATACAGTGAAACTGATTGGTGAATTGTATGTAATTGACAGTTTGAATGGAGTGTATGACAGTATAAAAAGCTGGTGTAAGTAACAAGATCGTCATGTGTTAAACATATTATACTGGTGGAATGCTAACTTATATTTCTTAATTGTTCCGTTAGAACTTCTTTCTGTTTTCGTTCAAAATGTCAGGTTTTCAAGCATAATCTATGTGAGGCAAAACAGGGATACATTCTCTGTGAAGGTACAATAACACGTATTGTGTCAGTCTAGTTTTGCTGGTTTGTTAATTTTGTCAATAATAATTATGAGCTAGCTTTATATGATGCCGGTGATAAGTTTATTTGATTGTGTTGTTCCCTCCTCTACTATATTGATCACTTCAATCATAACACTGGTTTGCTTGCCATAAGATACTCATCACTTATAACTTTTAATTGGTTTTTAAACACATTCTCTGAATAATAAATTAAAGTACTGGCCCTGAATGTTTCAGTAACTGATTAAAAGTTCTTCTTCACAGCAGATTATTTTAATTCTGAAAGTTAAGATACCAACAGCCCAATTAAGTAAATGTCTTTAATATTAGCTTTCATTTAATATGCTTCGTTGTATCTATTTCATTAAATTTTAAAGGATATTAGTAGTTTGAAATATACTTAAAAGAGACATGTGTCTCCTTTAGCTTTAAATAATACTTCATTACAATTGTTCCATACGCTTGTAAGCAATATAACTTATATTTTAGATAATAACGTATAACAGTGACAGTCGAAAGAGGATCATTTCAGTAGCAACTGTATTTATTTTTGCAGTGTTTAATGACTTTTCAGTTTTTGTTTGATAAAGTTTCAAATACGCATTTTCTTGTTTGATTGAGGATTTACTTCAATATTACCTATATTTATTTTTGTGTTTAAGAGGATTTCACATTATCTGTGGGATAAGGTTTAAAATACTTTTTTTAGTTGATTTGCTTTTCACAGACATTTTTCAGCCTGCTCATTAGCGCTGTTCTTGTCTAGACGGTCTGAGGATAGTTATGACAATTAGTGAAATGCCACAGACTCTCAGTGTAACCTTCAAATGACCTTTTGTCTTTGTGATCAGTAGAACATTTGGATCTCGGGAGAGGTAGTGAGGTAAACTTAGTGACGGACATAATTCCTTGATCCCTGGCATATGATAAGGTAGCTATAACATCATTTCTGTTTTAGATTTGAAGTTAATTTTGCCTTTTTAACTGCCAAGTACGAGTATAACTTGACATGAAATTGGGTAGTGTTTAATAAAACACAAAGATTGTCTAGAGAAAACTTTCATCTATAAGAATCCATTCTGGCGAGCGTTAAATTCATATTAAAATTTCTTTCATCCAACATTTGTTACAGTTTCGGTTTTTTAAATGTGGATATTATAAGCATTGTCAATACCATACATATGTTAACTGTGAACCAGTGCGAGGGGAAAAAGAGGATGAATGCTCGAAGGGTGAATGTAGCTTGCAAGGAGAAAGAAACAAATGTCTAGAGTGACTTTACCACGTCTTGCTGTGTACTATGTATGTAATACAATTGTGTGAATGACAGTGTCAAGTAACACAAACACAATAACATTATGTGGAGTATCACTCGGTGGACATCATACCCTAGGTTTGTAAATAAGATTAAATCTATGTATTATAAAGACAATTGTATAAGTTGTCTGCCGAAATTGATGTGAAAATAAAAAAACGAATGATTTTTACAACAGTTCTGTGTTACATTATATTTTGGTAGTTACCGTCGTCGACGTGTTCTATAAGGTGACGTTTTGACAGCATTTTGGAACAGTCAATGTCACAAACATCTTTACTTCCGAGATAGATGTCGACTAATGACAGACAAACTTACAACACGAGGATTTCAGGAGGGCCTGGTAAGTTGTCAGAACTTATGGCCAATCCCTTTGATCGTTTTTCGATCAATAAAATATGTTTGAATGAAGATTCAAAAGATTCTGGTTGGTGACGGCTTTACACAGGTTTCATGCTTGCCATCATGATATCTCTAGGAAATATGCTACTTTTGTGATATGTAGATCGTTGTTTTTATAATGCTCAGTAGCGTGCTGTATAGTTTTGTGTTATATGTAGATCGTTGTTTATATAATGCTCAGTAGCGTGCTGTATAGTTTTGTGTTATATGTTGATCGTTGTTTTTATAATGCTCAGTAGCGTGCTGTATAGTTTTGTTGTCACTATCCCAGTTCTAGCTATGAGGGTTTGACTTTGCTTCGATTTTACCTAGATTTACATTGCGTGTGTCGTCGATGAAGCAAAAAACGGTTGTTATTCCGCAACACCTGGTCTTATTAGCTCACCTGGCCCGAAAGGCCAAGTGAGGTTATGCCATGGTGCGGCGTCCGTCGTCCGTCCGGCGTCAACTTTTTACTTTTAACAACTTCTTCTCAGTAACCAAAAGGCCTACAATGTTGATATTTGGCCAGAAGCATGCTGGAATGAACGGCTACCAAGTTTGGTAACTGATATAAATGACCTTCATCCATTTTCAAGGTCACAGGGACCAAATATGTGGGGTCAATATATGTTTAAATCTTTAAATGATTTGTTCTGTATAACCAAAAAGTCCAGGGTAATGATACTTTGCTAGAAGCATGCTGGGTCGGAAGACTATAGACTCTGTTCAATCTAATGTCCTTGTTCGACATTCAATGGCATGGGCATCATATGTTTAAATCTTTTAATAGTTTCTTATTAATCATACACTGATTTTCTGCCTGTAGTTGTATTTTAGTCCGCGTTAAAGAATACAAGTATAAGATTAATACCAGGTGAGCGATTCAGTCCCATTGTGCCTCTTGTTCTCCATTTACTTTTTCACGGGTCGTAATGCAAACCTTTCCTTTCTTCATTTTTTCCCCTTGTTTAATTCGATTTTGGTTCAAATTATTGATACTGGTAGTTTACAAATTTCAAATATATTAATAATGTTTCTAAAAACGGATTGTATGCTTGTATATTTGACAAGTGTAAGGTTTTGTATTTTAGTGTATTGATGGGATTGGAATTGTCCTAATTGTGAAAAAAACACTTTTCTAACAATATATGTGGACTTTGAAGATAGAATATCTCAATATATGCATAATAAAGAAGTAAGCTAGTTATTAACCATGCGTACAACATAACCTTTAGACAATGTCACTTTACGTGTTCCACTGAATACTTCATGAATAGTCATGACGATCCGACATGGCAACTTGACAATATCATTGTCACACTGTTACAACGTGGCACTGAAACTGAAGTGTTCTTGTCAAGTCTAAACTATAAAGGATGAAATTACAATAAATAAAATATGATTGACTGAGGACAGACGAAACGATGGACGCAAACTCTTCGCTCTCACGAATAGCCAGTATTCCCTCGATACAATATATTTGAATATACGAATGTAATACCTACATCCGCGGTAATTCAGACTGATGGCAACTAAATTTCCTGCTTGGAATATCAGAATATCAGCGAGGTTTAGATAGGAAAGAGATATAATGCAGGGAAGACATTCAAGGTATGTGACCTAATTTCGACTGGAAGATGTCCATAAAAGCCCTCGAAGGACATCATTGTGTGTATTCAAATCTATTTCCAATGATAGTCAGGATATGGTGAGTGTATTATAGTCGAAGAGTTTGACGAAAATTACAGTCGATGAGCAATACGTTATTCAAATTACACTTTAACATGCGAAGAACATCATGATTCGTCTCAAATATACAAGTGTATTTTTTATATGTAAAGAACCGCTAGAAAAATCCAAGAAACAACGTATACAATCAATTATTTTAGACCATAGAAAGCCATGCCAAACATTTCATTCAATAAAGTATTGTCGTTTTAAATAACCGGGCCAGACGCGTGGATATTTGAATCAGCTAGCACAGCCGCCGGTACTTATTGGAATTGAAAAAGAGATAAAGCGATGATGAGACAAATGGCTGAAAGAAAAAATGGAACATGATATACGATAAGATGTTTTCAAAGAGAGAAAAAATGGCGAAGGTCAACTATTGCAGTACGTATAGACTATCGGGATAAACAAGAACGTACAACGAATAGTAACTCTTTGGCTATACAATTCTGCCTGCGTCCGTCTTCCTTCCAAACTATACAGTTTACCCTTTATTAATAGACCATGTCAGGTAGCGTTGATATACCAAATACAACTGCAATAGGAAGGTTTTAAAGCGATTTTTATTAGCACAACTGGTCTCATATAGTAGACGAGGTATCTTGAGCATATTTAACTGCAAATCTATGTTTCTATTAGCTCTTTCTGTCGTTTCCGTATCTTTCTTTGTCTTTTGTCTCATTTCTGTTCTCCCTATATACGTAGATGTCTGTCTTTCCTTGGTTCCGTCTTTTTTCTCCGCCATTGTTCTTCATTTCCTACCACTGTGTATGTTTCTTTCGGTATCTGTCCGCCTTGCAGCTATCTATGTCTCTTCTAAAAAAAATTGTCCGTCCCTATCTTTCTGCCTGTCTGTCTGTTTGTTTTTGGGACTTTCTCTTACTCTTTCTGTCTTTCAACGTGTGTGTCTCTCTCTCTCTTTCTCTGATAAGCTCATTAAAAAACAAGCTACGAACTTTTCAGTCAGAGTTTTGAACAATAAGCCGGAAGATACGGTGATGTGACCCAATGGTATCCTGTATTGGCAAGGTCATCCTAGCCACTGATTGGTCTGTCTACCAACCTGACGTAATAGAAGATTAATCGGGCGTTTTCCCCTCTAAAACAAGCATAGCGCCATTAGGCAAATATTGATATAGACGTATTAAAATATTTATGTTTACGCTATCCTGAGTGATACAAAACTAAATGGAAACGTTTTAGAACCATCACTCTCGATGTTCAGTCATAGGGAGAATTGTATCTGCCGGACGTCTTCACTGTAATGTCCTTATATGGTATGTAAATTGCTCCCCAAAATGATATTCGACAGAAATAAAGTAGTTAGGAAACTGTAAAAAGCATTACAGGACTGTAGCAGGGCTGTGTATATAAGCTCTACTACTAGGTGTCATCGCCGACTATGCAATTCTGTTTACATAGCAATTTCGTTATAACCAGAGGCTGTGAAGCACACTGGTCAATGACTGAGGAGGATTATATTAGATGTGCCTTTTACCAGTAATCACCGAGAAAAACCAAGAGGAAATACTATTTAGAAATTACGCTGCCCTCCGGAGATATAACAAAGATATAGAACCTGTCTGTACGTAATGTCACCGCTGAAACGCATTAGAAAACCTGTGATCTGTAGATAATAACGTGAATTATTTGATAGTGAAAAATGTTTCTGATTGTAAAATTAACTCCCCGCAGAAATATGAAAAGTTACAGTCAATTGCAAGTCAAATATCAAAACTACAGAATAAATTTCAAATTAATGTTGTAAAGAATACATAATACATTTATTAAAGGAATGGCATTCATTTCAAATATTTATAAGAGAATAACAATTCTAAGTGTTTCTGGACGTATTACTTGAATGACATTATATGACATCCTCGACAATGGCTTCAAGCATACCGAGTGTATATATATTCTTTGATATACATGGTGGTCTGTGTAGGTGTGATTTTGTGTGTGAAATTCCGACTAAATGTTGATATTTTAAATCTAATTGTATAAGTGCTTATATTAAAGGAGTCTATGTAATGTAATCAAACCAAACCATCAAATCAATTCCCAATATGAAGCATGCGTAAAACCAACTTGCGGTGAGTACAGCAGATAAATGTTTGGTTTGTTCCATGTCACCTAAAGCATAGAATCGGCATGTTATATAGTCTAAAGAATGTAAGGAGACATCGGAATCGTTATTATTATACACACGTTTTACCATTATTCCTCATGTAAATCAACTATCCTAATATATCAATATTTGTTGTCCTTAGAAATTATGTCGTTAAACGTCAAACTGATAGCAAATAAAACCACAACCATGACATTATCCGCATACTGTTTGGTCGAAACTATCTCGGTGGAGGAAAATTCAATAATCTGTGCACCATTCTTATCCTTTTTGGTTTTTCATTTTCTGAAAATGAATTGAAAAAAGGGTTATTAAAGAAAAGAGATATGACATTATGCCCGAACCCTTTAAATCACAACACGATATAATGTTATAGAAGTTTGCCTTTGAATAACGCAACTTAATACTCTTCAGAGCTTGACACGTTTGAAACTCCTTTTCTTCAAATTCATAACTGAACCCTTCCTACTGTAGTATTGAAATGTTCCCCTCACCCTCAATCTGTATTACATAACGATGAATTAACGAACGTTCATTTTCCTTTACTAAGCAGTAGCATTCTGATTTTCATTGGTTATGTTATTTTAATATGAATATGTCAGAGTTGATTCCGTCCCAAATATTAATACTTCCTGGATTGACGCGATCAGTTGATCTATGAACTCCTTAACCAGAGTTTCTACTTTAGATTTGATAATAAAAACACAACAAGAGAACACGGAAGTGTTAACAAAAACTTCATCTAAGATGAAGAATTTTGGGATTGAACTGATTTCTGTCTATTAGATGACAGGGTCTACAAGATTGAATAACATACTCATAGATCGTAAGTGACTTGCAAACATTCCAATCATAAACGGGAGACATCATTAAAGGTGACATATGTGGTGCCAAAAAATCTCACTCATCTCGAATAACCGAGTTCTTGGATTTG